TTTTTTTTCACCCCCCCCCCCCCCCCCCCGAACGGGTTTCCAGTGAAGAATTGCAGAGGTTATACAGTCGTATGTTGCTTTGTTTCTGCTTTTGTGAAATTGATAGGAAACAGCCCTAAGCCCAACAAGAATTTTGTTGGTGATTTATAATTCAAACTGCACAATCTGTTAAAGTAGTAGTATGTGCCCTTCAAAAGCATGCATATGGAGGAAGAAATTGCTGGGGGGGATTGTGGGATGGTTTTCTGGTTTTGGTTTGGGTTTTCTTTGTGGAGTTTTTTAAAGTTCGTTGTTTGTGTGGAGTGTAGTACATCTGTTCAGAAAGTTTCCACATAAACCTTCCTTCTTAGCACTTTAGCACATCGTGTGAATAAGGCTGGTTTTGCCATGTCTGTGCTGAACTGTTAAATGCTGTTGAGTTGTCATCTCTTATCAGAAAACACTACCTTGGTTACCCATTCATGAGGGATTTTTGTTTTAACAAGTGTTTTTCTTCTTTCACCCTGTATGCAAAAGAAGAATTATTTATAAATACTTACAGAGCTCTTAAGTCACCTACTTAAAACCTTTTCTCGTAAAAATCGCTTTGCTCTGGTGCCTACGAAATGCTTGGCAGTCATTAGGTAGCTAATGTGCTGTAACCACTGCTTATTACACTAATCATAATTAACACACTGATTTCCTGAGCTCTGTATGTTGTCCTGTACTAGGACTGTGGTGGTGGTCTTGGTGAGTTTGCTCTCCGTGTAAAGCCGTGTGGCTGTGCTCCTGGGATGGCACCAATAGTTACTACTTAGAGTAATTAATACATAAGAATCTGAGCTCACTGGAGTTGATTTAAAAGAACCCAATAAAACAAACTGAAACACCAACCAACTTCTGGAGGGTTTTGGTGTTCGTCCTGTGTGAGGAATGGGACCAGGCCAGAATCCTCAGTCAGAAATACGCTGAGCATCTGGATTTGCTCACAGGTTAAATTTTGTCCCGTCCAGTGCAGAAGAAGCCTTCTGACAGGACCTCAGGGGCACCCAGCTTTTTTCTCTGTGGCTGTGCGCTGAATATTTAATTTCCTCTTGAATGTGGCAAAGGGATTATTCTTTGAACTCTGTGTGATCATGAGTAAAAAAAGGGAAGTATATTAAGTCTGCACAAGACAGTCAGAGGATAACTAACCTTCATTTCATTCCTTGTGAAATAATATTTTCACGTAGTCCCTCAAAAATCTGGTTTTACATGATTCTTTTTAGAACAGGGTAGGCAGTGTGACCTTTCTGTGTGGAAGTACCATTACTGTGCTGATTTTAATAAATTGTTTTTATTTCCCTAGTTTTCTCAGGGAAAGGCTTGAAGATCTTTTATTTTTAATTTTTTTTTTTTAGACAGGTGTATTTGTATCCATTTACAGTGGTTTCCTGCTGTAGAAGAATGTATTGTGTAATTTAATACAATGCTGTTTGTCAGCTGGGCATTATGTTAGTCTGTAGGCAAGAAGAGGTTATGTGCTTTCTCGATATACATTCTCACGCTGTGAAACATCACATCTTTTTTTAAAGCCTTGGCAGTGAGAACCAGAAGTTCATAGCAATTTTGATGAATTAAGTTATTCTGGGAAGCACAGGCTATATAGGTGCTAAGGACTGATGTAAGGTAAGAAACTTCAGTGGCCTTTTACTAACTCGTTTCCTTCCTTCCTTTCTTTAAACAATGAATTGCAATATTTTCAACAGATCCCCTGTAAGCAGCTTGCAGATTCGCTATGATCAATCAGGGAACAGTTGTGGGGAAAACTTGCCCCCAGTAGCAGCCAGCATAGAACAGCTTCTGGAGAGGCAATGGAGTGAAGGACAACAGTTTTTGTTAGAGCAAGGCACCCCCAGTGACAGTAAGTACTCGCGTTGTGTTTCTTGCTGCTTTTGTTAACTGTGTTCTTTGGAACTGCTGTTCCGTGCTTGTCTAAGAATTTTTAAAAACACTTACTTTGTGCTGTGAATAGAAATATAACTGTAGTGTGTAATTGTAACATAGTTCTTAATGCAGCATGTGGCTTCAGTAGATTACAAAAGAGTTCTCTATAATTATCCACGTTTTTATGGATGAGGAAATTGTGTCATGCAAGAGGAAGTGACTTGCAGATCCTGCTGGTCTGTTGTAGATTTTGGAAACGAATTCCGGACTCTTAGATCCACTACTGTAAATAGGATAGCACAGTTCCCCAGTTTGTTTTATAACGTGTGATATAAATTGGCATAATAATTTTTTTATTGTTACGGGTCTTTATTTTTTGAATCTAAACTGCCTACTTCTGCTGCTGTTTCAAAAAAAAAATTGCAAATGTCTCACTGGGCTTTCATATCTGTATTATTTTTTGTGTTTCTCGTGACATTCTGAAAGCAAGCAAATGGAATAGGCCAAGAATGAATATGTTAAAAACTTGTGATGAGTATTTGATCTCCATTTTCAACAGTATCAACAATATCAATATCATTTTCAACAATCAGTATCAAGGATGATGATCAAATACATTTAAAAAAAAGAAATTAAGACCAGGTTAGGGTTTGTGTTCTATTTTATTGAACACATTATTTTTCTCGTTGGTAGTGTAAAGTGGTGTCGAGTTGGTATTTTTATGAATGGTATCCTGACAAAAATGCTAATTGTGAGGAAATTCATGCAGGGATAATCCTTTAAACATGATAGCTGGAGGACAGGTTTAGCTAAGTCTTATTGCATCTCATTTGGGCTCACTGAGGGTTCCTTTGTATGTTCTTGAAGAGGAGGGATAAAAGCTAAATCCTTGGGAAATGACCAGATGTGCCTATACCAGTAGACTTATGTCTGTAGTAGGCCCAGAGGGTCATGTTAAACAAATACAATTTAGAATTTTTTTTTTTTAAAAAAAGGCGCACTATCCCTATGGCTTTACAGTCACACTCTAGTACTAGCTGGGAAATCCAAGTTCTGAAACCAGATCGGAGTCTGAGAAGACCGTGCTTGGTAAAAATCAGGTTAGTGTGGAAGATGATGCCCTTTTTCTGCAAAAAAAAAGGGGTGTAAGTGCAGTGCTCACACAGTGCTCCCTGCTGGGTGATTTGGAGATCGCCGCTCACAGCAAGTGAGAGCTCCTGCTCCCAACGAGGTGTCCTGGTAACTTCACGTTGGGTGACCTTTTTTTTCATTGTTTCTGTTAAGTTTATGATCCACTGTACAGGGCATTAAAGCAGAAAAACTCCCTTTTCAAACTTGCTTGTTTTTTCACAAACGTTGTTGATTGGCTGTGTTGTTAGTTGAATTCATATTTTCCGACTTTTTCCTGTTCTGATAACGTTTACAGTTTCTAATACTGCAGCTGAAATAGATTTTTCCCAACCAGGCAATTAACGTGTGCTTCCAAAATAATATTGCTTTTATATTCTGGTTTGGGGATAAGTTATCATGTACTGCTGTTCACTTACCATGAAAGTCAGCCCTAGTGATGCAACTTTAAGGGTGTAGATATATTGCAGAGTTACTATCACATGCTGCGTACTTTTCCTACACTTCAAAAATTGATCCTAAACCTTTCCACTTGAAAGTCAAATATTGTGTAATAATTTTAGGTTTTCACATCTGACTTAATGCTAGTCTTAAATTGAAATATAGAAATTAAAAAAAATGAAGATGCTATTCTTTGAAGATGGTTGTGAGAGGTAACGTGTCCATTTTTACCTCAGTTCTAGGAATGCTTAAGTCGTTACACCAACTGCAGGTTGAAAATAGGCGATTAGAAGAACAGATAAAGAATCTGACTGCCAAGAAGGAGCGGCTTCAGCTACTCAATGCACAGCTTTCAGTGCCCTTTCCTACAATAACTTCAAATCCCAGCCCTTCTCATCAAGTACATGCCTTTCCAGTACAAGCAGGTAAGAGCAAAAGTCCTTTGAAAATGTGTTTATATGAAATACCTATTTTATCTGTGTATGCCATTTGTAGGAGATGCATATACGTGTAGGATGAATGTAGACTTAAGTATTTGTTGATGTGTTCAAGCGTTTAAAAGTCAACTGGAAGATTCTTGTGAACCATCCCTGCATGTTTCAGTGCAGTTTCTTTTTTGCCTCAGACTGGAGCACGTCTGTTTGAATCTATTGATTCACCAATTATTTAGTTAATATTTTACTATTCAGCAATGATTTTAAGGTTGACTTTACATTTTCTGTGTTCACCTTTGACATTATTTTGAAGTAATTATTCTGAATCTTTTTACATGTTACAGAAATTTAACCGGGGTATTTTGTTGTTTTGTTTTGTTTTTTTTTTAAATAATCACTTTAGCACCTAGCACTGATTCCTTGAACAGCAGTAAAAGCCCTCATCTGGGAAACAGTTTTTTACCAGACAATTCTCTTCCTGTATTAAATCAGGTAATTTTTATTTGTTTCTTCTAAACTTCAACTTAACTCATTGTAGTCCGCACAGTTGTGCCAACTAGGTGAAATTTTATGCAGCTTGAGGGGGTTTTGTTGTTTGTTTTTACACCAGGAGATAACCTCCAGCGGACAAAGCACCAGCAGTTCATCAGCTCTTTCCACTCCACCACCTGCTGGGCAGAGTCCAGCTCAGCAAGGCTCAGGAGTCACCGGAGTTCAACAGGTCAATGGTGTGACAGTGGGGGCACTCGCAAGTGGAATGCAGACTGTAACCTCCACCATTCCTGCAGTGCCTGCTGTGGGTGGAATCATTGGAGCGCTGCCAGCCGGCCAGCTGGCCATCAACGGCATCGTAGGGGCTCTAAACGGGGTCATTCAGACCCCGGCAACAATTTCACAGAACCCTTCTCCGCTCACTCACGCGCCCAACACGACGCATCCGCTGCCAACCACATTGAGTAACAGGTAAGGATTTGCCGATTTTATCTGTCTCCTCCGTGGGGCTGCTGTTCTTGAGGTTGGCTGTTTTCTAACTGTCTTACTCAAAAGGAACTGTTTTTCCTTAGCCTGTGATTGTCAGACTAGGTTCGGCTCCTGACCCGTGAATGAAAGTAAGGAGGCATTTAATGGAGCACCAATAGTCAAGTTACAGAAAAGATGTTTTCTTTTTAGCTTTTGGGAATCCTAGTATCCATTTATTCCTGTTTTTTTAATCAAGTCGCATTCCCAAACAAATGCAATTATGTAAATGTGCTTCAGCTTTTTTTTTTTTTTTTTTGAGTTCAGAAAACAATATTCTTTGTTCTGCCACTTGTTTTTCCAGGATTTAAGGAGCACTAGAAAAGCCACCATTTGTTGCAGTAAGAAGGGGGGAGGGGGTGAGGAGGACAGGTCCTCTAACGGTGTGACAGGCATAACTAACCGCAGCAGCAGCAGCGCAGTTGCGTGGTGTTTTCAGTTCTCTGCATCTGGTTCCAAACACAGAATTAGTTTTTTCAAGTGGTGTTCCTTAGGATTTTTAACTGCATGAGAAGATCCACACTTGAGTATTTGGCACAGCCCTTCCCCCAAACGAGGTGTCCTCAGTGGCATGAACTGCTGCTGCGCGAGGCGGAAGGGTAACAGGAGGAGACAGCTGCTTTCCCGGAAGGGAAATGGGCTGCTCGCTTTGGGAGGGTTTTGGGGCTGCCTCATCCTCCCCGCTCCCCTTCCTCCTGCTCCTCATGTTGTCCCTCGCTTAGGAAAGGAGAGCTGTGGTTCTATGTAGAAAGGAATGCCTGCAGATAAGGAATGGATTACTTGTCTTTAACTAGAGTTTATTTTTGGAGATTATGGCGGATTACCCACCAAAAAAGGCACATGTGATCGGAATGATGCAAGGGATCCCCTAGTTTTGTAGCTTCTGTTTTCTGTTTCTTTCTTGCTGTTCATTTGGCAGCTCCTCAATATTCGTGTACTGTATCACGGTGTGGTAGTGCTTCAGTGGGCTCATAAAACCTGGTATTATTAAGTGTATCACAATGTTTTGATGTGCTATTATGTTTTTACTCAGGAGGTTGTATTTTTCATAGTTTATATAATATGTGAACATAACATTTTGTAGGATAAACAAAAGACATTTCGTTAATGGTTATCTTTTTTTCTTGAGTAGCAGAGGAATGCTGAAAACACTCAAGAATTTTGTGTTACTCTCCCCAAAAGTGTAAGGAGGACTGAGAAATACTAGACAAATAATAATCAGTTGTATAATTCTTTCCCCTTTCAGGTAATGCCAAAATATACCAGCCAGGCTGCTGTTTTCTCATATAATTTTGTTAATGCACATAATGTTTATTTCTGACTCTTCATATTGCAGAAGTTCTTTTGTCTTACTTAAAAAAAAAATCCATTTTAACTGCTGTAACTCAACTATGTAGCCTAGTAGAAGACTACTCCAGTTCATGCAGAATACTGCAACTAGTATCTTGTTCTCAAGCGCTCATTCTAACTTGCAGAATAGTCTGGAATACTCCCAATGATGCCCTGTTTTCTGCTACAAGTTTATGATGTATAACTCCAGCAGCATTCCCATTTCTCTATTTCTGTTTTTGCATAACCTCTTTCTGCACTGCACCCTCAATAATACTAAATTAAAGTTAATGTTTATATTAAATTTAGATGTGCACTTTTCACACAATTCCCTGCTGTATTGAGCTCATCTGGATGATTTGCTGGGCCCCCTTCCATTTGAGGTGTTTCACAATTGCCCCAGTTTTCTGTAACTTGTTCAGCATTTCTCGTATATTTAGAAGAAAAAATATTCTGACTGAGCAAGCTAACATGATTTCAGTAATGACACATACATTCTTCATTCCCGTTTCTTCCATTATGAACATCTCAGTGAAATTTCTCTGTTATTGGAACTAAGTTGCAAAGACGCTCTGGGATGACTTTGAATGAAGGGGAAAAAAAAGAAATATAAAAGTATTTCCACTGGTAGAGATTATTGATTCTGAAATTACATGGGACATCGTTTCTGCCACTCTTGAGTTTAGTGCTCATTTCAGTGGCAACTAGTTGACTGTTTTAATAAAAAATCTGTCTAGGTTTCACTACTTTTTGAACTGCTTAAGTGAGAAAGTTAAATGGTGACAAGCGCAGGCCGGTGCAGAGGTTTGCTACCATGCTATTGCGAGCCCTGTGAACCTGGCTGGATCACATGGGGGTGATTTGGATTGGAGGTGGTTTAAATCAGTATTCACAACATGATGGAAAGCCACATGAGAGCTCAGCCCAACTTTTTAACTTCTGTTTATTGTTCCATAATTCAAAGACTTCCCAGGCGTTCCTCTAAGTTGCTGCCTACAGTAACTTCCCAAGCTTCAGAATCCATTCAGACAGTTTCATGTGAAAAATAGCCAGGTTATTCATCAATACGCGAAGATTTCTTCGTGCCTGTTGTCTTTATTCATGTGAGCTCTTTAACTCTGGGACATAGGGAGGTGAGAAGATGCTGATTTGCACGTTGCAGTTAGAGTTTCAAATTGTAGGTAAAAAAGCCTACATTCATTCGGCGGAGAAAAATACTCAATCCTTTCCTGGGAGAAAGATCGCTTAATACAGATTGCTGGCAACTGGGAGAGTGATTTGAGGAAAAAGATAGGATTGTTTCTTTACGTTCCCGCAACAAGAGAAGCCTGTAGTATGGAGAGTTTCAGACTGATTGTATACTTTTTAATGAGAAGCTAAAAAGGATTAAATTTACATTCCAAGCTGATCTGGTTTAGAGAAAGCTCTGTGGTGACGTGCAGTGAACTGCCTCTTCTGGGAAGCTTGGGAGCTGCAGCATTTTGTCTTCTGCAGTTGGGTTTTGTTTCTAGACACTTAGATCTTGGCTGCTGGGTGAGGGTGTTATCTTTCAAGTGCCAATGCAGAGCAAGAGAGGAAGGCAGAGCAGATAAAGAGGAGGGAGAACAACAGCAGGAAAAAAGAAGTGCAAAGGTAAAACATGATATAGGAGAAAAGAAGGAAGGGGATAAAAAGGTGAAAGAACAGTGGAAAAGATTCATTCTATTGGAATATACAGAAAAAGTGATGTAAAAATAGAAAAAGGAAATAATGGTAGTATTAGTCAAACTGAAGGTACTTATTTTTTTGCAGTTACAAATATTTTGGATACAATTGAATTTAAAGCTGAAGGAATTTCAATTAATCAACGAGTGTCATCATTTGGAAGTCAAACACATGCACAGTTCTGGCTTATGTTAGGCCTGAGTTTTGCTGTTGTAGCTTAGGAGAAAAATCTAGGCGTTTCCTTGGATATGTGAAGTACCATCTCAGCTTTCACTAACAATCAAACAAACACTGCTAGCAGTTCTTGGGGAATAAGTAGGATGGTGTTATCCATTTTGTGTTCTGCCATGTTAAATCCCTCATGTGTGTGGACATGGAATATTATGTGCACTTCCAAATACACAGTTTCAGGTAAGGGTATAAAACAGGACAAAAACAGTACAGCAAGAATCAGAGGCAAAATGGCTTGTGCAGGACAAGGTCAATAGAATTGATTTCATGGCTGGGGAAAAGAACCATTGACAGTATGTTTGAGAATGTGGAGAGTGGCAGAAGTGATGGTAATGAATATTATAAAGTAAATCATGGGGTATCAATAGAATTGTTGAGGTTGGAAAAGACCTTTTAAGATTTATCAAGTCCAGCCATTAACCCAGTAATGCCAGGTCTACCACTAAACTGTGTCCCTAAGCATCTCATTTACACATCTTTTAAATACCTCCAGGGATGATGACTCAGCCACTTCCCTGGGCTGCCTGTTTCCATGCTTAACAATCATTTCAGTGAAGAATTTTTTTCTAATATCCATTCCAAACCTCCCCTGGTATAACTTTACGCCATTTTATCTTGTCCTGTCACATGTTACTTGGGAGAAGAGTCCAATCCCCACCTCTCTACAACCTCCTTCAGGGAGTTGTAGAGAGCGATAAGGTCTCCTCTCATCGTCCTTTTCTCCAGGCTAAACAGCCCCAGTTCTCCAGCCACTTCTCATAAGACTTGTGCTTGAGACCCTTCACCACCTTTGTTGCCTTTCTTTGGACATGCTCCAGCACCTCAGTGTCCCTCTTGTAGTAAGTGGCCAAAACCCAAATGCAGGATTCAAGGTGCATCCTCACCAGTTCTGAGTCCAGGGGGACAATCACTTCCCTTTTGATTGCTTGTCCACACTGTTCCTGACACAGGCCAGGATGCCACTGGCCTTCTTGGCCACCTGGGCACACTGCTGGCTCCTGTTCAGCCGGCTGTCCATCAGCACCCTCAGGCACCATTCCACTGGGCAGCTTTCCAGTCATTTCTTCCAAGCCTGTAGCATTGCCTGGGGTGGTGGTGACTGAGGGGCAGGACCTGCCACTTGGCCTTGTTGAATCTCATACAGTTGGGCTGAGCCTATTGATCCAACCTGTCCAGGTCCCTCTGCAGAGCCTTCCTTCCCTCAAGCAGATCAACACTCCCCTCTAGCCTGGTGTTATTCGCAAACTTACTGAGTGTGCACTCAATCCAGAGAGCTGGGGAACACCACTTGTGACTGGCTACCAACAGGATTTAACTCTGTTCACCACCATTCTGGGCTTGGCTTTCCAGCTGGTTTTTTACCCAGTGGAATACAGCCACACAAGCTGTGAACAGCCAGTTTCTCCAGGAGAATGCTGTGGGAAACACTGCCAAGGTCTTTATTATCCAGGTAGACGTCATCCACAGCTGTTCCCTCATGCACTAAGCGGGTCACCTTGTCATAGGAGGAGATCAGGCAGGACCTGCCTTTCATAAGCCCATGCTGACTGTGCCTGATCACCTGGTTGTCCTGTATATGCCACGTGATGGCACACACGATGATCTGCTCCATAAACTTCCCCAGCACTGAGGTCAAACTGACTGGCTAGTAGTTCCCAAAATCCTCCTTCCAGCTCTTCTTGTAGATGGGTGTCAGCTGTGCTAACCTCCAGTCAGCTGCCACAGTGTGCCAGCGCCTGCAGAAAGGCACAGTAACTGTTATGTCCTGAAGAGCAAAATGATTGTAGCCTGTGTGGATTTGTGGCCGATTTCAGTTAATTTAATTCCTTACTACCAATCACAACTAGCAATCCTGCCAGACTGTTGGTCATTCTGTGTGCACCTTCTTGCTGGTATCAGTGCCCATAAGTTCACACAATAACCTCATCTGCATTAACAGATCAGCTTTCAGAGTGTTTTGTACTGGCTTAGGTTTCAGCCCAGTTCCCAAGAGATGCAGCTCGTTGGGAAAAGCTAGTGCAAGGACGGGGACGGGACACGGGGGACAGAAATGTACAACTGAAAGGGAAATACTTAACCTTTCAATAGCAGGGTGAACCTATCGTGAAACTATACCTTAATAATTCAACAAGTGTTTTAAACTAGTAAAAGCTGACATTGGTATTGAAAGGGTAAATCCAGCTGTCTTCCTGGCCTTGTGTTCCAGAACCATCCTCACCCATGCGGTTGGTCTTGCAGTGAAACTGGCTGAAGAAACCCTTTATTTCCAGACCAGTTGTCAGCTGGATCAGCTGCCCAGTCTTTCAAATAGCTGTGGAAAATTTTATGTAGGCCCAAAAATAGGGACTGGGAGCTAAGTAGCATCCTTCACTCCATGGCAGCATCGTTGGGCCCACTGCAAGACTGAACGTATTTGCTACGTTACAGACAAGGTTTAGGCAATAGTAATAGATTTGAATATATCACAAGATGAGAATTAGAAAGAAATCGAGACAAAGTGCTAGTTAACGGCAAGAGCTGTCTAATATAAAATCTGGCCTTTCTGTATAAAGTATTTGAAAAAATATAGAAATGCTAATTATTACCTGAGTTTAAAGTAATGTGCCCATAGTAGACTTATGTTACAGGCAAGATGTTGGTGTTGCTCAGCATAAATGAGACTGAGGGGCGGCGATAGTGTCTAGGTGTGTGTCACAAAATGCAACTGGACAGATGGACCATTTAATACATCTGTGTGCAATCAAAATGCTAAACAGGAACTGTCTATTTATATACATCACTTGTTTCACTGGAAAGCTGAAATAAAAAAAGTTCCTATACTTGGATATAAACTACAATATTGTCTGTCAAATCCTACAGTGCCTCGGGACTAGGATTACTTCCTGATCAACAGCGACAACTTCTACTCCATCAACAGCACCAGCAATTTCAACAATTACTAAGTACCCAGCAGCTCACGTCAGTAAGTTTTCCCAGTTAATTATGATTTACTCCTCTATTGTGTTCTAAGGCAGGCATGGATAAACTCCTCAGCCTAATACAAATACTGGAAATGTGCTTAACTTGGTATTAGAGGGGTTGATAATATTTTAGTTTTTCAGTTGCTTCAACCTTTTTTGATGATAGTGGTGCTAAATTACAGGGTTATCTTTGGGCTGTGTGCTAGAAGCAGCGTTTCCTAATGCCTTCAGTCCCATTTTGTCCCACATGGACATGGTGGTTCATCTATCTCAGTGTCAGCTATGGGCACCAGAGTTTGGGACCATGTGTGGATGAGAACAACACCCTAAAATATTCTGTGATTCCACCAGGACTCGAGCAAAAGATTTTCAGTTACCATCTCCTGAGCTGTCTTTGCTCTGCCTTGCAGTACTCATACACCACTGGGTAACTGGTTTGACTATTTGTACTGTTAATTGTGCAGTTTTAGTACTTTGACAAACATGGTTTGTGAAATTCTTCTCGGGTCTGTTTCTTCTGATAGAGGCCTCACGAAGCCAGCAGACTGAACTGAACTTCTGAGTTTACTGATTTCAGGAAAGTTTATAGGCACTTTCTTCTCTTTCCCACAGTCTCGTGGAACTTTATTAGCGTAACCTAAATTAGCAGGGATTAGGTCAAGAGCTGCACTGACGGAAGATTCAGATAAGCAAGAACCTAGGGAGAAGCTGTTTTTGAGTAACTAATTCTTGATTTACTTTTTTTCTCTCCTACTTCTTCTCATATTATTCAAGGAACAACATCAGGCCCTTTTGTATCAATTAGTACAGCAACAACATCACCACCACCAACACCACCAGTCTGAAGTGCAGCAGTTGCAGATCACTGGAGGAGCGCAGATCCCCATAAACAACTTGCTGTCGGGCACGCAGGCCTCACCACTTAACGCAGCTACTGCTAACCCCTTCCTTACAATTCATGGAGATAACGCAGCTCAGAAGGTGACAGTAAGTATATTTCTCACCCCGTTTTCAATGTAGTACCTCTGTGATGTGACAACAAGATAAGAAGCAAGTTATGTGCCTATATCCACTCAAGAATGGTGGATTTCTTCTTTATTTTCTTTTTCTTGAGCCTCGGGCTCCACTTAAAGAGGTTCAGAATGCGGTGAGCTTGTAGTCACTTACACCTGCCCTTGTCTGCTGCACGCTCCTGCTTCCCTGGCTCAGGAAGTGCTGCGCAGCTGCAGAGGTTGGTCAGGTAGTTGAGAGATGAGGAGCCCGTTGCTGGGAGGGTGAAATAGGTATTAGGAGAAGGGGCTGTGTGTATCTTGGTTCAGGCATGGGAAGATGAGGCTGCACACTAGGAAGCTGAGAGACTCCTTCCCTCATCAGGTAGGGAAACAAGACAAGGTTTTCTGGCAAAGATGTTCCATTGTCTTCAGCAGTTGCCCGTAACCTGCATCCCCAAGATGAGAATTCTAGTAGGATCCTGGTCACTGCCTGTTGGCTCAGAAGGGATCTGTCACTGGGATTTGCCCAGTGCCTCCCTCACCTTTATTGAGAAATGTTCACTATTTGTTCGAGTGTGTTTAAAATTTTATCTCCCATAATTTTCTAAAAATCTGTAATGAATGGAGATCCTGTATTTGGTTTGCATCAGAACAAACTGTTCTATATGTGACCTTAAGTAGAAGTTTTTGAAATGATTCTTACTATCTTGGACAGTGTGATTGGGCAGCACTAGTGTATTTTACAAATATGCTGTTGCAGTTTTAGTTTTTGTTCTTGTAACAGTTCCAGGAAACAAAACAAACCCCTTAGAAATAAATATCTTTTGAAATTGCTTGCCTTTTTTTTTTTAATTAAAAGGTTAGAATTGAGACAGACGGTAGTGAATTGTTGAGCTATTTTAATCCAAAAGGAAGTTTAAATAAATTCTCTATTTATAAGAAGTTTGACTGTTCTAATCTTATTTCCAGGTGAAACAGGTTGTCAGGCATTTCTGAATGCTCAGTGAATGAGATGAGGTTTTTACTTAGTCCTGTCCAACATTCAACAGGAAATGTCTTTCTAGCAGCTTATGGAAGAAAGATGACCAAGACTGGGCAAAATGGACATTTTATTTCAATTCTGGTGGAAAAAGTGTAGGTTTCAGCCCTCTCCCATGAGTATGGTGTATCAGAGGTCACCTGGTATTTGTCTTGACCACCACATGGTTCTCAGGCGAGACCACCAGCCAAGAGCAAGTCTTGTCGAAATGAAAGTGGAAGGAAAATTGTTGTTTTCTACTGCTAGTTGTGATGACAGTAGTAGGAGTTGCTTCAGTGTAGGACTACTCCTTTGGTTATTCTTTTCTTTTCCCCTTCTTGTAGAATACATGATTAGTCTTTACAACACAGAAGTTACAGTTTAGGTAGCTTTAGAAACTGTACCTCACCTGCTTTGTCATTTGTATGAATTTAATTTCACTTAACTTTTTATTTTATAATCTGATTTTTAGAAGTATTTTCTCTTACACAGAGGCTCAATGATAAAACTGGATCAGTTGCGTCAGAGAAGAGTTGACATTTGAATGATACTTGAGAACTGCACGTCCTGCTGTTTTAGCACTTCATCCAGCTGCACGCTGCAGGTTTCCTTTCTGCAGACTGAAGAAATGCAACAAGGAACTCCTACTGCACAGCAAAAGGTTAATAATTTTCATGAGGATATTTTTGGTAGGCTTTCATTTGCTTTCTTGTTGCACTAAAATGGATGTACTTTTTAATGTTTCAGACTGTGAAGTAGATAAAACTCTGCAAACCATAATTATTTTGTCAACATGATGGTACTAAGTACAAATTCACCCACCCGAAAATATATGCTTGACTCTTCAGTCCTAATCTTATAAATTTAAAGGCTAGCAAACTGTCTGCAGTCACACATGGTTTCAGAGCAGTACTTTTAAAAACCAAGCCACCCCCAACCCTAGCCGGTCTGATCTTCCACCGCGGTTGCGATAGATCCTTTTAGATGAAGCTTGTAAAAGGCAGCCGGGATTTGCTGTTTGTCAGTTCTTTTTTATGCACCTCTTTTGAAACCTGACTCATAAGGGAATCCACTTCTAACCTTTTTATTCCTTTAAATTCCTGTTGTTATATAGTGGGAGTTTTTCCTGAGTAAGAAATCCAGTATGGAATCCAAAGTTTATTACTTTTGGTGTAGGTTTTAAGAGTTCTGAGGTTTTTAAAGGGACCATTTGGGTTCCGGTGACAAAGTTTTCTTACCAGCCGAGAAGGCCGCACTGGAAGACGTAGGTGTCATGTTTGGCCTAAACCAAGTGCCTGTTGCTACCTCCGTTGTGTTAGGACGGCTGCAAGGAGCGGATCGTGCACTACACGTGTCCTTGTGAAGCAGCGGGAAGGTTCGGTGTCGCACCAGCAGCCTTGACGCTCTGCCTTTACTCAAGGTGTTTATACCACTGTAGATAGCTCAGGCAGATTGTTACCTGGGTCACTTTTCACTAATAAATTACCAAAAACATTGAGTTCCTACTTCCCACTAGAAATCTGTACCAGTGGTTGAAACGGGTGAACCTGTGTTCCAATGCTTGCAACAGGAGCTGGTTTCACGGCGTGAGTCTATGCAGTACGGTGAAGGACAGCTGAACTGGGGGCGATGACCACTAATCAGTAGTGAGGTGGGAATTATTAGAGGAAAAGACCCAGCTGTAATTAGACCTCCACTGTGTACTTATTTGGAAGAACATGTTAATTCTGCAATATGTTTCTTAGTTAAACATTGCACAGTTCTTACCTCATTTCTGTAAATAAAGTTTTGTGAATCTGTTTTGTATTGTGAAGAATTCATAAGAAAACATTGATATTTTGATTTGTAATATTTCTAATTAGTAGATTTAATTGAAAAAGTAAAAATAATTTATTTTTATACGTTCTGGGGAATTTTTTAAAAACGTCACAAATCACTTTTGTAGATAACTTTACAAAAGTAAACCAGTGGTTTATTTTACTTACTCAACCCACTGGTGGATATTCTGTAACAATTTGTACAAAAGGTAAGATGGAAATGTGCTGTTATTTTGACTAGATGTAAAATTCCAAGTGTATTAAAAGATAATGTACAAAGCTTTTGTTAATAAACTTTAATAATGTTTATAGTTGTATATTGCTTGTGTGAATGTGAGTCTTGTAGGAGAACGGAGTATTTCTGATATGACCAGAAGGTTTTCAGTTGCAATGTGGCCACTAGAACATGCTACCAGAAAATTTTAACAAAAGTTTCTTCTGTAAATTCCAGTGACTGATGCGGTCACAATACTTGTCTGGGGACACTTTGGATTCACTGGATACAAATGTCCAGTTGCAGCCCTGTGCCGCAGCCCAATGTCAGAGTCTTCTACTTTTATCCTTTAAAGAGAAATTGCAGGAGGCGGCGAGAGCCCAGAATTACTGTTTGATCAGGTTGTGCACACGGAGCACAGGGCGGCTGCTCTCTGGGCATTAACCTGTGAAGTTCTCTGAAACAATATTTAGAGGCATTACTTTGTCTCTAGTAAAGTTTCCACAGTATCATCATTTCTACCAAGTACAATTAATTATCTTTATATGAGACAAAAAATAAAATCAATCACATGTCAATTGGTAAAGGCATGCACATGGAACTTACCTAAATACTTCTGCCTTAAAAGTTCTATGGGAATGGGATGGAACTTGGAAATGCTGATCTGTTAGAGGCAACAGAATTGGCAAACAGTTACGGGGGAAAATCAGCGTTCTAAAGGGCAGAAAGTTAATGGAGATTTTCAGCCACCAATTTCCAATTTTGAGTTCAGATACATAATCCTTTGATTTTTCATTTTGAATTAATGCTCAAGAACTTAATTGAATGCTGGTATTAAATTCTATTCTACGATTCTAAATCAGAATTTGACTGGTAAATAATTTAAAATCTGCAAGTCCTAAGCGTTTCTAGCAAAAGTTAAGGATCCCTGCTCTGATTCATCGACATAATTTACAGCCCATTAAGTACCCTTGATTCCAGCATTTTAAGCTTTGTATAATTTTTCCAAAATTATGAAAACCAAAATAGCAAGTAAGGAATAATAACCTTTATGATCTATTCTTCATATATAAAATCAAACTATATTCAATCCTGGATATTAAAAAAAAACCAACACCCAAATATGAGAACTCTTATTGCAATAATATGTTAGCTTTTAAGTTCTCTTCTGTACTTAAAAACTGCTCATGAAGTATATGCCTTATATATCTTGATTTCTAATAGTGGCCTTTAAAGTTCTTCCCCTTTTAAACTTTATCAAATTAACAGCACTATCAACTATCCCTGTGTATTATATCTGCAGGGCTGGCAAAAAAGGTTCTATGATGCACATAGAAGTAAAATTAGAAATAAGGAAATTGTTAGAATGACAAGACAATTCATGTAGCAGCAGATGTGCTCAAACACATATGGTCTTGGACTTACAGCTGCAAAAAAAGAAAAATATATTTTGAGTGCAGAGTTCCATTACTCTTGTGCTTGCTTTAACAGTTCCAGATCACTTCTCTCTTTCAAAACAAAGTCTTTGTATTTTATATATTCGTTTGGTGTAAACCTACCCATTGCAGTGTGCAGTCATCAGTGTGGGCCTTCCTGAGGAGCCACTAATTTTTTAGACATTGTTACCCCACATCTGCTTAAGCAATGCGCCAACACAAAAATACCACTTCAGTCTTCAACACGCAAAATACATAAGATGATATAAGATTTATTAATATTTTCTTTTACTAAGGCACATGACGTATAGAAAGACTGAGGTACAAAAACAGCAGTTTCCTGCATATGAGATTTAAAACCCCATTGTGACAAAAGATGAGCTACATCTCTTCTGCTCAGAACATTCAGCTTTTAGCCATTTTTTTCTTTTGTACCAGTTCAACAAGCAACTTGTATCTTGCTACACACTCCTCCTAAAAGGAAAAACAAAAGTATTTAATTGAAGGTTGGTATTTTAGTATTGCTTTAACTCTATGCATGCTGCCTCATTCCAGAAGAAGTGCTGGGTTCTGGGGGCTGTTTTGCTGGTTTTGGCGTTTTTTTTTAATTTTTAAGTAAGTTGCACCCTGAATTTCAGGAGAATCTAAGTCTTGTGAAGAGTGGATTAGAAACATGAACTTGCAATTTACATTACTTAATGGATAATTTCTCTTGGTAAAGAGCACACAAGCCGAGGAGAACACGTGCCTTCTGGACAATGACTGTGAAAGCAATTACTAAACAGTTGTACTGCGATACCTGTTTCAGAGCAGTGACAGGTGGGAGAACACCGCTTCACACAGGTTCAGAGGAGCCTTTACGCTCCCTGACACAGCATCTACAGCCCCCAGATACCACTGAACTGCTCCAGAGCCAGAGAAACACTCAAATCCCCACCGATGATTCCTGCTTTCTCATGCTGTGTTTGGCACAAATAACATGAGGATACTCTGCAGCTACGACAACTGAAAGCAAATGAACTATGCTATCGCAACTATTCCAAAATCTAGCATGGACCAGCTATACCAATAACAATGAAAGCCAATTTAAAAAGATCATACTTACAAAGAGAACATTAGCTAGATTATTGGGCTTTTAACGCAGATGGATTACTTATTTTGTTTGTTCATTGAGATGGGTTGAGAAAGGTACTGTAAAAGTGCAAGGAAAGCAGCTCACCAATATCTGGTTACTAACTTTGACTCAAAATTTGTTTTAAAATCTAATTTGTCCTGCAACTGAAGATCTGAAAGGCAGAGGAGAGGTAGGTATTTTAAACGAAAGGAGGTATTTCAACATTTTCTGTAACAGATCAAACAAACTGAATTACATTAAAATACACTTTATTTAAAGACAACAAGCATGACAGTAATGCTATTTAGGTCCACTATGTCCGGACTGAAAGATCTCACCTTTTTGCATGAACTCTCTCCATTCTTAAGGTAATCATAAATTGGTAGAAAATAGATTTCCCTTCAATTTATACTATAGTTGAAACAAAACTAAAACATACCTTACTTTTTCCAGGAACACATTTTGCTATTTTATCCCAGCGATCTGATGTTCCCTTTGGATACTGCTGCAAGGCCATTTCAAGAAGTTTCTGTTGATTTTGAGTCCACAGTTCTTCTGGGACACGGCTTTTCTCTCTTTTTCTGCTCTCATCTTCACTCTCTTCCTCAGTGTTATCAAAATCTTTCTGGCGTCTTCCCCTGCCCTTCTCCTCTGGTACCTCTTTTGTTGCTGGTAGAGTCATTTCAGGTGCTTTGACAATTTTTCGTTTGCGGTGTCTAGTTTCACTTGCAGCGGTCTCCTTTTGATCTGTCTGGACTTCCCTCTGCTCTGAGATATGACCGTAGTTCCCTTCCTCCTCCTCTTCCTCCTCCCTTTCTCGCTGGGTGATGATGTGGTCTGGCAAATTCACATTGGCTTTGACATTCCTGGAGTTCTGGGCCAGCGTTTTAAGCTCGGAGAGCCTAATGATACCTGTTACAAGCACTGCTGTTACACTTCAGATAAAACAAGCCACA